TTGCTCCCTCCTCGGCGCTGTCACCGGCGCGCTCCCGGCCCGACGCCACAGCCTCCCGGCCGCCGCCGCCGCCAGCAGCGCGCATCCTGGCCGCCCGGCCGCCGCGGGAAGCAGGTAGGACAGCACCCGGGCGGGCGCAGAGGCGCCTCCCCTGCGCGCTGCGCGCCCCACCTCAGTTTCCCACAGAGGGCGGCGGGAATGTGAGGCGGGGGCGCGCCGAGGCCTCTGAGCGCTGGGGCGCTTGAGATGTCGCTCCGAAAGTGAGAACCCCGAAACCTGGGAGCGCGGGCTCGGTGCTGGACGCCGGGAGGCGGAACGCTCTGCTGGACTGATCCGACTTCACCCACAGCGTCCCTGCGCGGGTCGGCGGGCCCTTCTTGGCGAACCCATCTTATAGAGGGGGAAACTAAGGGCAGTCAGAGGGGGGAGAAGCCTTCCTGAGTCCCAGTGACAAGTTGCTGAATCCAGGTTTGAAGCCTGAAGTCTGACCCCAGAGCCTCCCTCTCAGCCCGCCTCTGGGGGCTTATAGGGGTCCTCCTTGGGGCTGTGCTGGGGAGGAGCCAGGTCCCCATGTCCTGCCGTCTGTACCACGAGAGGGTATGTCCGGAGAATGTTGTATCACTTCTGTATGCTGTGGACAGCGGGAAGGCTGGGGACAGACTGTGCGTCAGAGTGTGGCCATCCCTCTTGAGCGTGGAGGGAGAAACGGAGGCACAGAGAAGTTTAGGGGGAAGACGGAGAGCTTATCCCATCCCCAGGAAGTACAACAGCTCTCTCACCACATCCCCGCCAGGGATTTATCCCTGGCAGCCAGGTCCTCAGAGAGTCCATGGGGCACCTGTGTGAATTCTCCCCGAGGCCAAGCATCCCTGCGGCCCGACCTGACATCAAGGAGTGACCCCACCTACCTACTCACTGAACTGTGTGATCTTGAGGAATTCATTAGGTCCATTCAATTTTGTCTGTAACCTTCCAAACCTTGCCCTCTTGGCACCTCAAAGGTAGCCACCTTCCTAACTTGGGGTGTTCTAGACCTTTCCTACACCTATGCAGTCATATATATGCACACCCACAGAAAATATGTAGAATGCATAGTGATGTTGTGGGCAGATGTTTAATAAAAACGGTATAATCTGCCCATATAATTCTGCAACTTGCTCCCACCACACCCACACCGCCCCCAGTTACCATGTCTCTGAGAGCTATCCATGTTGCTGCATATAAGTCTAACTGAGTCATAAAAATTTGAGGACTGGTTTTTATTTCAGCCTCTTCTATAAATTGACATCTTTGCTTCAAATAAGATTTCTTCATTCTTTGTCCTAAATCAACTTCTAGGGTCTGAATTTGTGGGACAAACCCCCCTCTTCTCCATTGCACATGCACATGCATGCACACATAAGGCATACACCCATGCACATGCATGCACACATAAGGCATACACCCATGCACATGTGCACACAGCACATACACGCAGGTACATTATACATATACATGTGTATGCAGGTCTACATGTTCATACATATGTGTACTACACACACAAGCACAAACACACACACACATGCACAGGTGCACTGCACACACCTGTATCCTGCCTGTTGTGGCCAAGGACAAACACTATATCCCATCTCCTGTGGTCTCTGCTGAGCCCAAAGGCCTAGAACAAGCCGGGCTATAAGCTCTGCTGGTCCAAGCCCCAGTGGGTAGAGTTCCCAAAAGGGACCTCATCCAGGGGTTCTCTCTAGATGCTCCCCATAACACCTCCAGTCCACAATAGGTGACAGAGGAGTTAGGAACCATAGCTAATAGACTAGAGTGTCCAGGGTCCTATTTGTGTACCCCAAACTTTCCAGGTCCAAGCTGTGAGACGAGAGTGTGGTCACTCTGCAGTGTGCACCAGGACCATCAACAGTTTGGTGAAATGCCTGAAAACAGCTGGTTGGGGAAAAAGCTGGATTCGTACATGCTTGCCTTACAATCCCAACTGCTCCACTTCCTGGCCTGGGCAGTTCCCATCTCCTGTCTGAGCCACAGTTTCAGTTTCATACCTGTAACATGATGATAACCTCCCAGAACTGTTGAGTGGATCAGGGGATGATGAAACAGAACACTAAGAGCACTGTCAGCACTCTGTAAGCAGGAAGTCTTGTCCTGGACGAGGGAGACCTAGAGATGGCCCCAGGGTGGGAGTGATGCTCAGAGCCACCATTTGGGACCTCGGTCCATACAAGTGCAGGCTGGAGAATCCTCAATGCCTAGGGGGACCAAGGATGAGACTTCTGATTGTTGAGAGCCACGCTTAGCTCACAGTGGAGTCCAGAGTGTCACAGCATTTACACAGGGCTTACTGTGCACCTGGCCCTGAGGTAAGATGTAGAAATTAAATGAGCTGAGGTCCCCACCTGTGAGATACAGGACACAGAAGTTGCAGAGGAGGCCCATGGGCAGCTTTTGTGAGACCCATGCTCCTGTTTAAGTTTTAGATTACTCTCAAGATTTTTAAAAGTGGGAATTGTCATATAAAACTCTGTATTTCTGGATCCTTTTCAGAAATCAGAAAAGCTGATACCTCTGGGTCCAGTACTCAGCTGCCCCTTAGATGGGGCAGGCACCCTGTAAGGGGGTCATGGTCCCCACCCGGCCCACCCCTCATTCATGAAGAACAGCATAATATAAAAGTTGGTAGGAGACTCTGGCCAGTGTCTATATCCCAGCTCAGCCATGGGTTAGTTGTGTGTTCTCAGGCCAATTATTTAGCATTTTTGTGACTCCTTGTCCTCATATGTAAAAACAGGGTTCTTTTAGGTACAGTGCAATTTGTACTCAAAATGGTATTCCATGTAAAATGGTGTGGAAACACAAGTAAAGGAGGAAGAAAGGAAGGAAAGTAACACTTTCAGTTTCTTCTTCAAGTAAGATGCTGCAATCCTGATATTTTTTGCCCAAAGACAGGAAGCAGACATTTCAAGGAAAGATATAAAGAGGAGGGGACTTCTAAGGTGGGCTTTGAAGGATGAACGGGAGTTTCTCTGGAGCCATAGCATGAAAAAGGCATTTCCACACAGAGGAAACAGGCTTTGGAAAGGCCTGGGGGCATGATCAAGTGCATTGTGTTTAGGAAGTGACAAGTAGTCCAACGTGGCTTTGAGGTAAGATATCTCAAAGGATAGGGAGAGGCAAGATGATGAGCCTGGGGAGCCATAAAAGGACCTTGAGATCATGATGGGGCTTGTGGCAGGGAAGGGGATGAACATTCCTTGTGTACCTACTGTGTGCAGGTGCTCTTATAATCACTACCTCTGTAGTCCTCGTAATGCCCCTGGGAATCAAGTTTTTGTGATTCCCATTTACTAATGAGTTAGACAGAGGGCCCCCCACCCTCAGGGTGCACGGGTGTATGCCTTATGTGTGCGTACATGTTACTTGCCCAAGAACGCACACAGTGGGTCAGCAGCAAAGCTGGGGTCAGACCCCAGATCTGTGGGATTCTAAAGCCTGTGCACCCTCTCTGAGCCTCAGGTTTCTCATTGTAAAGTGGAGACAGTGCTAATAAAATGTACTGCCTCAGTTGTTCTGAGGATTAGATGAGAATGAATGTACAAGCCTTACTTAGCACAGGACCTGGCATATAGCAGTTGCTGTGTTATTTTGATCAGAACAAAGCTGCTCTTCCTCCAGGCATCTCAGCCTAACTCATCCCACAGCCCCGTCTGAGATAGGATACCCCAGGGAGTGAATCACGGGGACCAGTGGGTGTCATCTCAAAGCGTGGTCCCTGAACCAGAAGTATCAGCACCACTAGCTTGTTAGAAATGCAGGTTCTCAGACCTACCCCAGATTCTGGAGGAGGGGCCTAGCAATTTGTAGTTTAACAAGCCCTCCAGGTGATTTTGATGCAGGCCCAATTTCCAAATCACTGTCTTAAATAACAACTTCAAATGAGGTCCCCTCCAGCCACCTGCATCTACCTCCTACAGGAAGAACAGGTAGATGGTGAGAACTCTAACCTCAGTGGAGAACGAAGCTGGAGGGTCTGTCCTAAGCCAGGGCATGTCCTCCTGGGGCTGGAAAGTGCCAAGGGGCCTACTGGAGTTTCCAGGGGTTCGCCTTCTTAGTCTTGGAGACTCCAGTCTGCCCACCTTGAGGGCCTGGAGCAAGATTTTACTTTGGGAGGAGCTGAAAGTGAGGGATGCCCCAGGCAGCTGAGGACCCACCCCTCCACATTAAAAGCCTGTTATTAGAGACCCCGCTCTGCCCCAGGGGCCCTGTGGGCATTCCCTTCTCCCTTGAGCCCTATGAGTATGTGGGTCTGGGCGAGTCCTCAGTAGTGGGAAAGTGATCCCATGACTCTGCAGAGAGGACCTTTAAGGAGGTCCCAGGCCAAGTGACAAGGAGGTGAGTCCAGGATGGGGGCAGTAACATCCCGCAGAGTACCTCCAGTTGACCTCTCCACCTGTCCCCTTGAAAGTACAGATCTAGAGTGGGGAGGCAGTACTGCCTAATGGGTAGAAGCATGGGCCTTGCCTTAAAAATCAACATTGCTGGGTCTGCATCTATACAATTTAATATTTTCTTCATGACCAAAAACAAAAGCACCCATAAACCCAGGCATGTTAAACTAGTAAAAATTCTTGCCACTTTTATGACAAAGAGTTAATTTCATGGATAAAGAACTCCTGCAAATCAATCACCCCATCCACAAAAGAAAAAAGAGAAGAGTAAAGGACATGATTCGGCTGTTTACATAAAAAGAAGTGTAGATTGAATTTAAACAGATGAAAAAGATAGTCTCATTCCAAAAAAAGAGAAATGCACAGCAAAACCAAGCTGATTCTGTTGTCCCCTGGCCAGATCCCTGGGTAACTGGTGGTGGAGATGTGAAACCAGCACTCTCAAAGCGTGCTGGTGGGAGCAGCCACTGGGGCAGCCTCAGGGTGAATTAGGAAAACTGTCAGCATTTAAGATGTGCATGCCCTGGAACTCTACAATTTCACCTCTAGGAATTCACCCAGTGGATATCTTCGCATCAGGCACAACATGTTAGAACAAAGATAGGTTGTGTGTAAGAGTAAACCATTGGAAACTACCTGAACATGCGTCAGAAAGGAACCAAGTTCTGTGCATGTTGCAACAGCCACAAGAGAACAGGATGCAGCCATTCCAAAGAAAGCAGTAGCTCTTGACGAAAGGATATGAAATCATCTCCCAGATGTACTGCTAAAAGAAAAATGCAAGGTATAGAACAAACAGTACATAGTATTCTGCCATCTGTGTGTGTGTGTGTGTGTTTTAAAGGGACTAGATAGGAATACATACGTGTATATTTGTATATGCATATTATAATCTGGGGGGACATGGTGGAATCTGGCAATAGTGGTTGACTTTAGGGAGGGAAACAGGATCTTCACTGAAAAGGAGACTTACTGTCCGTTGCATACCTTAGGCACTCTTGAGAAGTTTATTCCCCCATGTTTTTATTAAGTTATAGTTATAAAATCTAGCCACACCCATCTTCTTTCTCCTTATTTACAAGCATAACATTAGAAATAAGGCATATTCCTCCTTTGACCACTACCCAAATTATGTATCACATTTTCAAATAAAAAATGAATTAAAAGTTATTAAAAGTAGGATCTTTGATCACAAAAGAACAAATATTGTTTGATTCCACTTACATGAGGCACCTAGAAAAGACAAATTCGGAGAGAAAGAAAGTAGGACAGAGGTTACCAGGCTGCAGAGAGACGGAGTGGGGAGTTAGCGTTTAATGGATGCAGAGTTTCATTCTCTCTGGGATGATGAAAAAGTTCTGGAAGTGGATAGTGGCTACACCACCACGTGAATATCTGTAATGCCACTTAATGTACACTTAAATATAGTTAAAATGATGCATTTTATGTTATATATTTTGCCACAATAAAAAAAAAACTAGAGATGGCTATAAAAAATAAAAAGTAGGGGCTGTGATAACATATTGCAGGGATTCTAGTCCTGGGTTCCACCACTTAGCTGTGTTTACTTGATCAAGTGTGTGCACTTCTCTAAGCCTCGTTTTACCCGCATGCAAAATGGGGCAGTCCGAGAATGCCTAGCCCACAGGAATCCTTCAAAGATTAAGTGACTTTTTCTACACAGAGCGCTTGCTGTGCATCTCTGAAACTATTATAGGAGGTCAGGATTAGGAAAGTAGGGAGGCTAGGATCAGCCACTGGACCAAATATTAATTAAAACCAGTAGATTCAGATGGGGAGAGTGCCTAGAGAGTTTGTAAAAGCATTGTCTGTATTTTCACATCACTTTGTATTTGCAAAATAAAAAAGTGATGTGTTTCCATAATGTAAATTATGAAATGTGGAGTCAAACAAATCATCTTGGCTGGTGGGAATACACAAAAGATGTAGCAGCTTAAAACTGGGTCCTGCCAGTATAGCATAGAGAAGACTAGTGACTCTGATGGACAGTGACTGTAATGGGGTATGTGATGGGGACTTGCTAATGGGGGGAATCTAGTAACCACAGTGTTGCTCTTTTGATTGTACATTAATGATACCTAAATAAATAAAAATTGCACCACCTTCAAAAAAAAAACCTGAGGCCTGCTAGCCTTCTGAGAACTGAATCCTGGCTGTGCCACTTACTCAGCCGTGTGACCTCAGGCAAGTTACTTAACCTTTCTGTGCCTCACTGTTCTCATCTGTAAACTGGAGATGATAATAAGTCTCACCTCATTAGGGATATTATGAGGATTAAATATCTCAAGTGCTTAGAACAGTGCCTGGCACTAAATAAGCATTTGTTAAGTAGATTAATGAACTTGAAATAAGCCTAAAAGCCTTTTTGTTTTTAAAAGAGGAATTTATTTTTTACACTGAAGAAGTGGTGTCCTAACCAAGATACAGCCATAGGGCCCAGCTGAACCTGGAGGAGTTCCCTGGGGTGGGATTGCTGGGAGGTGGCTTGGAGAGGCCAACGTAAGATAAAGGGGTGACCCGCAGATGGGGCAACAAGAGACCAAGGTTCAGGGATTTGCCCAAAAGGCCACATAGTGGTAGAACAGCACCCAGATTCAGCCTCAGCTTTGTCCTCCTCGCCAGTGCCTCCCTGGCAGGGCGTGTCTTGAGGACTGGGTGGCTAGCTGGAGGCCACTGACAGCCCTACGGCAAGCATGGCCCTTCCCTGCAGACCTCCGAGTCACGCCAGGTGGCTTTGCTTCCTCCTGATGTGCCAGGGAGCTTGGTCCCACACTGAGGTCTGGAGGGAGGGCTAAGATCTGGGAAGCCTGGTGCACCCCTCTTCAGGACCTGTGCCAGACCTGGCTTCATCAGCAACCTCAGGGAGGGGCTGGATTGTGCCCTCCCCAAGCCAGCTGCCCCCCACCTGCAAGCCGATTCCTGAAATTCCACTGTGGGTCTCATCCTTCTCTGTGTGTGGAATTTGCTGATTTGCCTGGTTGAAGGGCATGGTCTCTGCCCCAGGAGGGCTCCCAGTGCCCTTTCTCAGTGGTCGGCTCCACAGTGAGGTGTCTGACAGAGGCTTTGGGGAGCTTGCTTAGTGAGAGAGACCAAAGAACCTTTGGGGGCCGAGGCCTTGGGCTGGAAGGCAGCCTTGGAAGGATGGTTTTAGAGATGGTTGGGGGAATGTGTAGAAGTGTGCTTGGCACATGGTCAGTGCTCCCGAGTGGAAGGAGGGGCCATTCCCGCCCCCACCCCCTGAGGAGTCCTGGCTTACCGCAGGCTGCTTGGGGAGACAATTCCTGTCCTCAAAGCATCACCACCAAAGTTGGGTATTGAAATCCCCAGACTCCTTACTTCTCTTCCTCGGATATGCAGGTGTGTGACAGTTAAGAGTCTGGAAGTCGGACAGGCTGGAGGTAGAGCTCAGCCCTGTGCAATCTTGGGCAAGATACTTAACCTCTGAACCCCAACCCTGGCCCAGTGGACTGGGTACAGGCGTATGTCCCTTAGGGGCCCTTATGAAGCATCAGCAAGCTAAGTGCTCAGCGCCATAGTTCAGGGGCAGCAGGTAACTGACCCCCAGTCACCGTCTTGCCCTTCTCCCCGCTCAGGTTAACTCCAGAAATGCTGCGCCATTCTTGCCCTGCTTCAAGGAGAGATGAGGGTGGGGCAGGAAGGGGAGAGGCCTGAGCTGAAAAGCCAGAAACACCTCCACCTGCAGAATTCAGGGAAAGTTGAAAGATAAGAATCTGGGCCTGGGTGTGTGTGTGGAGGGAGGGATGTGTTCAAGTGGAGAGCAGACTGCTTGGTTGCAACTTGCTGGCTGTTGGAGCAGGAGCTGGTTTAACCCCTCTAACACCAGATGACAGTGGGTGACAGCCCAGCCATGGGAGGATGGGCCCACTGAGCAGATCCCCCCTGACACGCACGCGGAGGGGAGAACCCAGAGGAGCAGGGTGACAGCCGGTGAGAGGCAATGTATTTCCCAGCATTCAAGGAGTGCTTCCTAACTGCTGCAACACTAGTTCACAGGGATTTAAACTTCCAGAGTGCAAGTTTTTGTCTGTTTTTTTCATTGCTTTGCTACTGAAGTCCCAGCTCCCAGTTGATGATCGATGAATATTTGCTAAATGAATGAAGGATAGATGAATGGCTACTGGAAGTGAGCTAGGCACTGGAGACATGGTGGTGAGCAAGACGCATCTCACCCCCAGAAGACTCCTCAGCCCCCTAACCCATGAGCCCCTCTTCATTCTCATTCCAACTCCTGAATTCCCACTGGGGCCCACCAGCAGCAGCTGAACCTGAGATGGGTGGGGCAGCTTCTTATTGGATCTTATGATATAGTTGGCTAAGAACCCCACCCTGAAGACCCCTCCTCACCCGCAGATGGCTCCTTATGACTAAAAAGCATCATAGTCATTCAAGGAGGTGTGGTCACTCTGTCTGGGAACCATGTTGTTTTGTTTGCCCTATGCACAGGGTTGAACTGGCTTCAGTTTCTCTTTCAACACATGATACGGTTTGTCAAATAAACATTGATGTGGCCCATGTGATGTTCTCTTCTGCAGCAATAATAATAACAATAGGCAGTGTCTTCTAAGTATATACTACATGCCAGACACATGAGACATTTCATGGAATTCTCTTAGGAACCATAAAGGTAGGTAGAGATATTCTCCCCCATTTGACACCTGGAGAAATTGTGCTCTCTCACTGCATGATCTCATTGTATCCTTCCAACAGTTCAGTGAAACAGGTTGTGTAATTTGCATTTTGTAGATCAGAAAACAGGCTCAGAGAGGTTAAGTAACTTGCCCAAGGTCACACAAACTAGCTAATGCTGGGGCTGGATTCAAACCCAAGTAGTCTGACCATAGAGCCCACTTTGCTGTCCCCACCCTGCCTCTCCTCGGCTTTCAGGTGTCATCTGAGAGGTTAGTGTGGAGGAGGAGTGGAAATTTTTACTCTCAGACATAGCTCTTAAAGCTCTTGGTTCAGCTGCAGCCAAGTATAGATATAAGATTTCAGCTGCACACTCCACCAGGAACTACCCTGAGTCACTGTGTGGGTGACAATCCTAATGTCCCCCAGCAGAGAGAGCCCAGCTTGCATGTGGCTGTGGTTCTTGGACACCAGATTCTCAGCCTCCAAATCTCCCTGGGCCTAGCTTCCTCTGCCAGATGGCCAGCCAGGGGCACGGGAAGCCCTGTCTCCCAGGGACTGGGTTCCAAAGCCTGAGCCCAGGTCCAGAAAAGCCAAGTGGGGTGTCAGAGGTTAGCAGGAAATGGAGACTGAGCAGGATACAGGAGGAGCCAAGGGGGAAAGATGTCACCCCTTTTTCCCTCTTTTGTCTCTGCTTCATGCCTTCATCTCGTGTGTGAGGAGGAAAGTGTTTATTTCATAAACTTCACTGCAGTGGAACCCACTCCGGAGATCTAGGGCACAGGAAGCCCAGCTGACCCAACCCTTACAGAATGCTTCCTCTAGAACAGGCCTGGTGAGCTATGTTCTGCCTGCGTTGCCTCATTTAATCTGCACAATTATCATATCCTCCTCACCATCCCCATCACCACTTCATCTCCATCACCCTACATCCCATTCCCATCCCCACCCCAGCCCCCGCCCCCACCCCTGCTCTGTCCCCACCTCCGTCCCATCCCAACCCATCCCCACCATCATCCCCACCCCTGCCCCATCCCCACCCCAACCACACCCCGTCCCTGTCCCCCCACCGTCATCCCTGTCCCCATCCCCACACCCGCCATCGTCCCCACCCTG